TAGCAGCATGCAATGAAAAAAGAAGAATAATGTTGATAAAGATGGAAATAACTACTACCTGCTGAGGCAAAGGCAAACCTGCTGGATTAGGGGAACAATACATCTTTGCAGCTATAGTAGCACCCATATTCATGGACTTACTCTCTGTGATTAGAGAGCAACACATACTAAAGGACTAAAATTTTTCCTCCAAAATGCAAATGTTTACTTCAGACAATAAAATACAATTTTCAAGTTACATAAACAAAATTACTAATGAATAAAGTTCATGAACATGCACCATTTGGAAAATGAAGGTGAAAATTACATATAAATACAGAAAACTTGCCTCCTACAAGAGAAAGGGAACTAAACATAAGATTGATAAATCATTTGCTAAAATGGGAGGTTATTGATCTTAAATGAGAATTTTTTCTTATATCCTATCAAAAGCCTACAAATACCAAAACTGCCCTTTCAAGCAGGTGGTCGTGAGTTCGATCCCTGGTACCGATTTAAAAAAAAAAAAAAAGAAAAAAGAAAAAAGAAAGAAACAAATACCAAAACTGCAAGTCTAGATCTATCAATTTAGACTGTTATAATGTCTATCTATGTTGATAATAATGAATTGGAATATATAGAGTTGAATCTCATGAAAATACAGCGCATTCTTAGTTTTACAATAAAGAGTGCATGTGTAGCCCATTAAGATTGCGATAATGGTGACATTTCTGTCACCAATTTCTTTAATTTCAATTATTATTATTTCCATAATATGAGGACAGAGCCTAGAGTTTCACTCACTATAGGCCATCATTCTACACTGAACTAATAATTTTTTCTTTCATCTCTGTTCTTTTTTCCAGGGGCTTACACATTTCTTCGCTTTGCTTTTGGATTTTTAATAAAACAAAGGAAATAGTCCAGAAGTAATACTGCTAAATGTTCCTGCTGTTGTATTAGCCACAACTGGGCTAAAAATTCATCTTATTACCAGTTAATTAAATGTCACAAGAGTAACTGGTTTAAACTACATGAAGCATGTTTAATGTATGTTCTAGAGAAATGGTTCCTTTCCCTGAGTTTTGTGGTGACAAATTGGACTTACAAATGAAAACCTTTGCCAATAAAAAATAAGTTCTTGGATACAGGAAATTAGTGATTTAAAGAAAACTTTTATTTATTTATGTTGCTTACAGATTTTAAAAGTTGTCATCGGTTGTCTACTGCCTTTAAGGCAGGACTGCACAGCACAGGGTCATAGTGGAAGAAAATTGTGCCTTTCTTAGCAAACAGGACACCAAGAGCACAGCAAGCTTTGAAAGGAGGTAGAAACTTTCAGTCCATGCTCACAGTGGCAGACCTACTCCGATCAAGCCCCACTTCCTAACGGCAAGTCAGCTGTTAGCCCCATAACTGAATCATCCTCTACAAGGTCTATCTAAAAGCCTGAGAGGCTTGGGACATATTTTAGATGCAAACCATTAAAAATGTAGACTACACCTGGCGGTGTCAGATTCACATTTCTCCTATTTGTATCCATTAATACCTAAAGATAACTAAATGGTGTGCTAATTAAATTCATCTAGATATAGATAGAGAGCACAGGATAAAGAAGATTTAAGAGAAAAGAATTAAGATGTGTAATGTGCATATACCCACTTGAAACAGTGAATGTAATCATTACATACTGAAAAGATGTACTAATAAAAAATACTAAAGTATAAATATAATAAATTAATATCTGTTTAAAATAATTTAAAATAAAAATCTTGTATTTAAGATGCCCTGTCACCGCTCTATTACAATAGGCAGAGTAAACCATTTCTAAGTAGATGTTTAGTGATGTGGTCAGTGAACAGTAATCTAATTCAACAATAAAGAAAATTTTCGCAGTTACCACAGTATTTCCCAAAAGTAAAATTACCTTACTGGGTTTATTCATTCTGAGAGCAACACAATCTGAAGGGCCAGGAGCCTTCTAAGTTAGGAAGTAGAGGCCTGTGAACATTTTCTGGTATGCATCTGGCAATGTGGGAAGCAATTTGAAGAGTGTCTCAGGAATGCAGTACCTCAAAGTCTGCATAGTTAACCTGGCTCAGAGTTTGGACCCCAGATACCGTAACAATTATTAAGCCAAAAAATAGACAGTATTAAATCATATATCCAAGTCAGAGATGATCATTTTCTTGCATCTTGTTAATGCTTATGCTAAATAGAACATTCTTGCTCCTTTTCACTCAAATCCATGCACTCTCCAGGATATTATCAAAGAATCTTTGTTTCACGTAGATTTTTGGTGTGACACTTGAGTCTGCTTCTCTAACATCTAGTTTAATATTTTAATACATCTGACAAACGTGGAAAATAGCATAAAACAACAATACAATTAGTAGCAGAAGCTGGAATCTGGTAGACAAAGTTTCTGCACTATGAAAGAAAGTGGTGTGTGTGTGCTTGTTTCTTTGTGTTTTGCTTTGTTCTTTTCCAGTTTGCTTTTGAGAGTGTAAGAAAGACTTCAGTAATAACAAATCATGGTGTTAGACACACTTTAAATTCTATTTCTGTAGCCATGAGAAAATAACTGATTTGATTTCTTCATTTAAAAGTGTTTAATAATATATGGACTATTTTAGAAATTTAATACACATTGACAGAACATATTATATGCTCAAGAAATAACAGCTATTTCTGATTTGTTGGTGATTTCTTGACAAAAGATACTTAGCACACATAAATTTGGACAGTTTATGTTGATTTTCCAGACGATTATAACATGAGCTCTTCCAACTAAACTGATTTTTGCTTTAAAAAGTAAATTGCATTGTAAATTGTAGAACCTCTTTGTTTAATCTCTATATCTGTGGCTTTGCCTTAAAATAAGCTTTTTTTATTGAGAATTCCACTTAAAAGTTTAATCAGCCTGGCACCTTGACCACTTAGTATTCAAAGAAAAAGAATGGACATAACAGCCCATGCATAATCAAAACATTTTTCTCTAATCAGTTATAATTAGCATGAAATAATGGATTTCCCCAGATTTCGAGCTTTTCAAGAGGAATTAATTTTGAGACTGCCCACCTTCCTAGCTTCTAACTTGGAGGGGTGAATTCACCAATTAAGTTCACAGCAGATTAATTATCTAGCAATTTGGGAAGTTAATCATGATTCAATGGTACTTATTAAGTGCCTTCATGCCCATGAAACTATGTTGGAAGATTGGTTTGGGACGATTGAAATCTCATTTGAAGACAAATTTAAGTGGTTTGGGCACCCTAGATCCAACTTAAATATACAATTGATGTTGCTCACTTCCTCTTATCACTGCTTAAGGGAAGATATTAAAAGCAATACAAAAAATGTGCAAGAAACATCATAGCACAGGCATTAGAGGTTTCATGCTTTTCATTAGGGCCTGATTAAATTATATTCCACATTAAATTTTCAGCATTTTTTGCACAACCTGTGACTTTTCTTTCTTTCTCTAAAGAAATTTTTATGACTTGTCTCAGCTCACAGCTGAAAATCCATTTTGTGATTTCTTCATTGTAGCTAATGCAAATTTGTTCAAATCACAAAGCTACCACATAATTTACCCTGTTCAGCAGAAATATCTGCCTTCATTTACTCAGTGCAAGTAAAGCCTCATTTGGAATAGCACAAGGAAGTTTTAGGTCAGAAATGAAACAAAATCAATGAAAATTGTATGTGCACAAATTGTCATCAGCTAAAGTTAGCCCTTTCTTTTAATGCTCATACTTCTTTAAAGATGTATGTAGGACATATTGCAAGAATAAAAACAAAATAGATTTATGTTTATTTATATAATCACACACACACTAGGACTTACGTACATATCTTACTTTGCATTTTGTTTTTTCCAGGAAACTCCAGAGGAATCAGGCAAAGTTGTCCAGCTTTAAGATCCCTCATGGATTTCTCAGAGTGGCTCTTTTTTCTTTTCTTTTTCTTTCTTTTCTTTTATTCTTTTTCTTTTTTCTCCTCTCCCTTCGTTTCCTTCCCTTTTTTCTCCTCTTCACTTCTCTCTTTCTCTTCTTTTCACCTTAGAATGCTTTCATGTATAAACAACTCTAGTAAAAGTTCCCCGATGAACTACTTTCATTTGTTTTCTTTACTCAGCCTCCCTCACCTAAATTGCAGTGCCAGTACTGACCTTTTTTGTTAGGTGCTGGCGTAACCACAGAGTAGCAGGCTCAGTTCCACATTTCGCCTTACATCTCCATTTCTAATTGCATAACATAAATCATTATAGAGACTTTTGCTCCTCGGAGATACTTCAGAAAAACCTTAAAACAAACTTCAGACATAATCTCCAACCTGAGCTTGTTAAGGTACTGTAGGTTGAGTATTTTGTGAGATTTGCAATAATCTGAATCCTCATAGGAAAATGCTCCTTAGCTGAGATGACATTTGGTACATTCTTATCAGCTGAGAGGACAGACGAGCAACTCTGATGAGTGTAACCTGTCAGACATTGAATTGTTCTACACTTTATACAAATCTACTACAATTTACAAATGTTTTAAATCACTTCTCTCTGATTAATGAATTGTACTATCATTTTAAAAATACTAATAGACTAAGTATGAAGTAGGCTGTTATTTTCATTCACAAAACGGAAATCTTCACAGAATTTTAATTTCTCTAAAAAGTACATGTACTTCTGCTTATTCCATTCTGGGAGAAAATTGCAGTCATAATAATCTGGGTCAATTCTTGTTTCATGTACTTGCTATGTACTATGGAACAAAATATTATGCTCAGTATAAGATTTGTTATAAATTTTAACAATACAAATTTTAAAACATGCTGTATTTATAATTTATCTGTTATAAATCACACGTTTGTGACCATGTAAATTCATCTGTTGAAAACCTAAACCCCAATAGGATGATATAAGTTTGAGCCTTTGAGAGATAATTAGATTTGAACAAAGTAGTAAAGAGCACAGCCCTATGGTAGGATTAATGGCCTATACCAAGAAAGCGACTTCTATTTACCATGTACAGAGTCATCTCTGACCAGCGCAGCCCCAATGAAACAGGAGACGCTTCAGGTGGTAACAGGAACTGCCGCTTTATTGTTGCGGGTTCTGGTTTATATATCTGACTGTAGCCAATCAGGCTGCCACGAGGGCTGCCACGAGGAGGCAGGGCTGGAATGAGACACGGGCTCTGGCTAATATACCCAGCTGTGGTGAATACGAAGTGAGCACTGGGTGGCTAATTTGGAGTGGGACGTAGCGCATTGCAGAAGCTGGCGTGGTCCTTAGTCCCGGGTGGGGTATGGTATGTTGAGCCCTGCGCCCAACAATCTCCGAGGCTGTCAGCTGGTCTACAATCTCCTAAGAACCTGGTCATGTTATCACCTGATCTAGAACTTACAACTTCCAGAATTATACATATTTTCTAAGTCATGCAGTCTACAGTACTCTGTTAAAGCAGTCTAAACTAAGACATCATCTTTCTTGTTAAAGGGTAAACTGGACTATTAAGATAGCAATGTATTTAACTAGCTAATTCCTAAAGCTGTACTTAGTGAATGTGAGCTGACAGATAGTGATTTAAGGGAAAGTTTAAGTTGCAGCAGAACTCAGGGTCTGCCGGATGACGCCAGTAACTATGGTTTACTATCATTAAATACCATTTCCCTTAGGCAGCCCTTTCGTGAAAGTCTTTTCCTTTTCGTAGTTGACCTTGATGTTCATCTTAACCTGCTTTTGTCAGCATATATATATCCAGTAAAGGAAAGGGGAGGGAAAGGTTGAATGCATGTTGTGATCTACCTGGTGCCCAGACCATGGAGACACCCTTGGGTCCTGCACTCCGTGTCTCTGCACATTTGTTGAAGAAATAGACTGGAACTGAGAATTGCTTCAGTTTCATCTGCCAGGCTCATCTCTGACCCTATTCTCCACCGAGGATGCACAAGTGGAAATTTACTACTGACACAGTTTTTGACAACTTCCCATGAACTGGATTTTCCATTGCAGTTACCTTCTAAATCAACTCAGGCATAACTTAAAACACATCTATTTTTCTTTATGTTAAAGAAAACAGTGCTTTATTTTGCAACATTTAAAAGTTTATGATTCTGATGTCATGGCATTCTTGAAATCACATACTTTTCCAACTTTCCCCAAAGAAAGAACAAATCTACCTGAAATCAAAAGCTGTAGAATATCTAATGAATGCTTACCATGAACTATCACAACTTCAAGCAAAAATTATTTCATGCAGTGTCAAATGTGAAGAATTCTTGACTTTCCATCTAATTATAACCTCACCCACCAAAAGATTAGGTATTGTTTCTCAGTCTTACTAAGTAGGAAATAAATGTTCAAATTTTTAAGGGTTTTATAGAAGAAAATTTAAACTTTTGTTTCAGATATGACAACTTTTAATTTCCTATATTGTGAAAATATCTTGACTATAAATGTACTGTAAATTTGAATTATTTTCTGAAAGACAATGCAAAAATGTCCTGTGGGCCGTTTTCTTTCTCTGACTGCCAAAGAAAAATTAGAAATTATCTTGGCAAGGGTACAATTAGTACAAAAAACAAACACCTTTTAAGCTTTTGTTAAAATTCATGAATTAGTTGAAAGAAAATTTTAAATTACAAGTAGTTCAAAGATAATTCACCATACTAGGAAAATTTTTCAGGGAGAACAGAAGCTTCTTAGATTGATTAATCTCCTCTGTCTGGTTTGTTTTTGTTCCTTGCCTTTTGTGATCTTTTGTGCTTTCTATTCTTGTTTCCTGAAGCATCCTTCGCCATGCATTCTTCTAATGGTTTCAGAATTTCAGGTTTTACATGTTAGCCATTGATTCATTTAAAATTGATTTTTGTATATCGTGAGAGGTCAGGGTCTAATTTCATACTTCTGAATATGTGTGTACAGTTTCCCTAGCTCTGTTCATTGGGAATTATTCTTTCTTATCCAAAAGAGTTTTTTGATGCTTTTGTCAAAAATTGGTTAGCTTTTATGTAAGCTTTGAGTTAATGTGACAAAACACTCAAATTACAGAAAAGAAAAAATGTATTTGGGTTAATTATTTCAGTCTTTTTTAGTGCTTGTTCTGTTGGCTCTATTACTTTGGACCTGAGGCAGAATAGTAGCACTTTATGCTATAGCATGTGGCCAAGAAAACTGCTCACCTCAAGACTACAGACTACAGTAAGGAGAGAGAGAGAGAGAGAGAGAGAGAGAGAGAGAAACAGACAGACAGATAGACAAACAAACAGACTCAGGGTCCTTAATATCATCTTCGGTAACACACCCCACTCTTACCTAATAACTTTCTACTACACTCTGTCTCCTGAAGGTTCCAGAAGCTCCCAATAGTATCACAGGCTGAGGATCAAACTTTAAACATGTGGTGGTTTGGTCTGCAGTTCCAAACCATTGTAGCTTTAGTTATATGAATTCATTTCTGGATTTTCATTCTGTTCCATATATATATGGCATTGCCATGTTATTGGTTTTTAACTCATAACTATCTAAAACATTCTCAATGAAAATGTTTTTTTAAATATCTGAATATTTTACAAACTAACCTACATTTTTCTTTTCTTTTCTTCTCTTCTTTCATTCTTTTTCACCCTTCTTTCTCCCTGCCTGCCTTCCTTCCTTTGCTCAACCCTTATTTTTTTTATGATTAACCTATAAATGTTTGACACTAGGAATGAAATGAATGTTTTCAGACAGTAAGATCCTTCAGGGCTGGACAGGACAATGGTGAAAGCACAGAAGAGAGAAGTGGCTGGGATGAAACTACAGTGAGAAACCTCAGCTAAGTGATGGTTGGTGACCGAGACTATTGTTTAGAAAATAGCTATTACCTGTGTGAACATACCAATACAGTAACACACAACTCCCCTCAGCATACAAGGAAATTAAATAAACCAAAACATATTTAATGGTTATTATTATCAGTACTGTTTTAATGTGCCTTGCATAGTCAGAATACAAATAAAATATAAACCTAGAATACTTGGAAAATTTAAGTAGTGTGTTTGTTACTACTCTTTCCTTAAATTAAATTCTTGGATACAATACAATAGGAAACAAATGTATATAAAAATATTACAAATATTTGTCAATTTCAGCAATAAATTACTGCACACTTACTTTCCTTACACATTTTACTCATTTCTTTGCTTACCTGTTTACATATTTGCAAATGACAAATAAAAAGAATTCTAAGCTAATATTTATTGACTGCTTCAATGAAGCTTTTTTTAATACCCATGAGAGAATTTATTTTTATTTTACTGAAACATATCAAGACAAATACTAAATCATGTGTTTCAATATAGGAACAAATGAAGAATAAAGCCTAGATTGTATGTTGAATTTATAGTCTACCATTATGTCTCCAAAATGTTTATTTAAATATCCCATTATATATAACATGATTAAATACAATTATATACTGAATTTAAGAAAAATGAAAATCCCTCTTTTTTAAGACTAGAGTCTAGCCTAGAATGTATAGACTTGCAGTTTTGATCCATTATAATTTAAAAAAGAAACTTTTTAATTAAGATACCATGATTAAGAAATTAAATACATAGGGCTATATAAATATTATTGTGCTGTGACATACAGAGAAAATCAAATAGATTTGTGTTAAGATTGGAAATGAATTTGAAAGTATAGAAAAGTACTATGCTTGTTCCTGCAGCACATATACTAAGATGGGAATGATACAGAGATTAGCACAGTCCCTTTGCAAGGATGACATGCAAATTTCTAAAGCATTCCATGCATGTACGGGTAGGCCCTAGAAAAGGATAGAGTGTAGAAAGAATGAAGACAGTGAATCAAAGATGTTATTGGCCTCCTAAGTTTGGAAATTTTGAAAACATGATTTTTTTAAAGAACAGGAATAACCAGTATTGTAATTTTTAATTATGTAAGTCATTTTTATGTACATTTTTCTAAAAATTTAATACATTTTGTCATATGGATTATTTTTTTCTTAATCTAAAAGCAAGACAAAATTTTATTTCTGTTTCTCAGTGACTGCAGAAAAATTACACTTGGAAGGTGAGAGTTTCTGTACAGGAATTGAGTGGAGAATAGAATTTCAGAGACGCAGGAAGCAATGAAAATTAACCTCCCCCAAAAAATTCCCTGCGATATGAGAAAACTAACTTTATTTTCTACAAAATGTAAATTAGTATTAGATCAAGTGATTTTTAGATTATTAAGGATCAGGAAGATTAGTAACCTTGATAGCTAGATGTTTATATGAATTTATATAACATGAATATACATGATTTTAAGTTTTTTGCCTTTGTAAACTCTTAATTCATTGTATTTTCTGGACCCCACATTTCTGTGATTACATTTTAACAGTGACATTCACAAACAATTCCACTCATACTTTACATTTCCCTTCTATGGAATGCAAGTCCTCAAATGCCTGCAAGGAAGCTTTGAATTTTTGGCAGTGAATGTTGTTTGTATAATTCTGATGGACAACCTTATCAATACCTGTTATTTATCACAGCTTTGCTCTGACAGGGCAAAACTGTCACTTTGATGACAATGGCCCATGGGGACAATGCTCTTGGCAGTACCTGTTGAAGTTGGTGACAGCTAAGTTGAATTAGTTGCATTTATAATTCTGGTGATGTTGGCTTTTTGTCTGCTCATCAGCAAAACTGAATTTCCCATGCCATTCCCACCCAAATTAATCTTCTGTTAGTTTTTTTTTTTTTTCAATGGTGCATTTTCAGTTCATAATGATGACTTTTCTCATGGGAAGTCGTTAGATGTACAAAGCACATCTTAGTTCTTTTTTCATCTCTTTCCCCTCCCTCCATCTCTTGTTTTCCTTCCGTTTAGCAAAAGTGGAAACATATACAACAAAAGAACATATACGGTTCTTATTAGCTGAGCACTTTACAACAAAAAATAACTGTTTCCAATTAAAGACTTGCTAGTGTGTTGTGTTGGACACAATCACACTTTTATGCTGGGGCACAATGTTAGTAAGATCCTCTATATTATCCTCAAATAGTTTTGTAGACAACCATGATAATTTTGTCTACTGGTACTAACCTATTGTCTCCAAATAAAATGTGTGTATCTCAAAAACATGAGTAGTTTCCCTCTGTGCCATTTTGTGCCCTCTGTGTAAATGTAATAAGATTCATAATGATTGTAGCTACTATCAAATTCTAAAAGGCTCAGATACTGGAGATAGCTTCAGTTCCTAGAAAAGGTTACAAAGTGTAACGAAAAGTTGTCTAAGGAGAAAACTGAAAGGATTATGGCCCAGAGGGGACACCGTAGCCGGTAAAGCCTCAGATGGAACCAAGGAGCTCTATCTTCCCCACCTCTAGGCATTTACTCTGGCATGAAATGAATACCAACGAGATACCTGCACATCCCTAATGCCCCTCAGACACCACCCCCAACCTAAGCTACAAGTATGCCCCCACTCTACATGTCCAACCAAGAGATCGCTGACTGGCGAGAAAATGTCAGACCCCAGAGGGTCGGGGGTCTCTCCCCACATTCTTAAAATAAAGGTCATTTATATTTGCTACTTCTTATCTTTTCAGCCATGACACATTTCTATCAGAAACCAGTGTCCTAGAGTTACATTGATAATTCTGAGGATGGTGTGATAATACCTTCGCGAGGAAGATGAGATGGAGTATAAATAATCAAAGGCCAGCTTCATACTGACTTTTTTCTCTTTCTCACCTATAGATTACTTCACTATTTTAGTTATTAAAATTAAATTTCATTTAAAAATAATATATCTATAATGAGTCGCAATAGTTAGAAATGCAGCCATATTAATTTGTACATTTAATAAGTTCTATCCTGGAAGTAATAAATCATAGGAAGTAAAAATTAATAGAACATTTAAGAATCATGATCATGATAAATAGGTTGAATATTGTCTCAGAAAAAAGATTTTTATGATTGTCTTTTTGTGTCACATTTTGAATCTGAAAATCAGATTTTGTCACCAGGATTTGGACATAAAGAGAATGTTTACAGGTTCAGGAAGTGAAGTAGATTATGTTTTTCTCAAGTTTTGGAAATTTTACAGGTAAATCTTTCTTATATATGTGTACGTGTGTACGTGTGTGTGTGTACATATATATGTGTATATTTCAATTCAGGATTCAATTTCTTATTGTCTATGTCTTGAGAGCTGACAGCATATGTGGTTCACGAAGTAGATTTAAATATGCAGTGGTAACTCAGTTCATAAGCTTAATTCATTCCTTGACTCTGGAGAAGATGGCTGCCTTTGTGCTCACGCAGGGAAAATGGCTGCAGCCTTGTTTGTCACCCAAAGCAGATTTCATAAACAGAAACAAGATTTGGCCAAATGCTTCTATTTGTGAACCAAATTTTTCATGAACTGAAAGATTTATGAACCGAGGTATTACTGTGTAGCATACACGTGTGTGCTTCCTATATGATTTGTATGATGACACAGGTTTCTGAGTTATTTCAGGAAAAAAATACATACATCAATATATTTGTATCTTTATTTGGTGTGTACAAATACATATTATTTATGTTAGTAGTTAAGTGGCAGTCATAATAAAATAAGCCATAAGACAACTCATGCCCTGGATAAAATCCTGCCACAAGTTTTCTGAGACAACTTTTTGTGTGTTTTAAGTGTTCCTAAATGAGAATGTGTTAAAAATTGTTCACTAGCCATGCACTATTGGAAGTCAGTGTTGTTGCAGCCTAGTTGGAAGACATTAGTTCACTGGGGTCCTAGACACTTCCTCTATTTTTTCCTTGCCATCCTAAAGTGAGGAGCTGTATTGCATGGCGTATATTTTCTGTCTCTCTTCAGGCCCAAAACCATTAAGGCAAAGTGACCATGAACTAAAACAGCTGCACCAATTAGCCAAAATCAGTATCTTTTCCTCTTAAATTACCTCTGATAATCTGTCACATAGCAAACCTTGATTAACACATACACTTAAATGAAATCAGAAGTATTTGCTGTGAACTAAAATTATATAAATATTTTAACCCTAAATGCTATTTCCACAGAAGCTATTCTTCTGCTTTTAAATCTTCTCAGACATCTTATCCGCACTATGGTTGCATCAATTTACCAAGCATACTTTCTACTTTGTGGCTTTTGTACTAGCTATTCTGTTTGTCCTGGATTCAATTTTCTACATATTCATTATCATAATTCATTCTGTTTTAGCATTTATTTAGTTCCCACCACATACACTTCTACGCACCATAAGTGACACATCACACTTAAAACAAGTGACCTGGTTGGAGACAGGGGTTAGATAGAGTGTCATTGTTTAAGGATGAAAATACAGAATGAATGCCTCATACATTACTCATATATTGTTAAAATAATTAATTAATTAATGGGATGGAAATGACTTAACTATGTTATTTAATTTTTTTCTTTTACCCTAACACACAAACATTCCTTGAATAATGCTATTTGAAAAAAAAAAAAAAGTATCTATTCACACAATAGAAAGAAAAAGACACATTAAGGTCTGACACTTTCAGTGGAAAAGCAGTTCTAGGGAATACCGGTTAATTATAAAAACTACCAGTTGATTATTATTCCAAGGTAAATGTCACTTTCATCCAATATTTCTGAGAAAAGCGTGCTAACCAGAAATCATATGTCGGCTGGCCACTGTCTCCTAAGCCCAGACAAAACAAATGCTTGCACAGAGCTTCTTATTGTGCAACATAATGAGCCATAAAACCAGGAAATAAGCCATTTTATTTTGAGTAATGAGAGTCCCTATTAATCTGGAAGATCAGATATGTATCAAGGATAGGATGTTAAACTACAGCACAACTTCCTGTTTTTTTTTTTTTTTTAATCATCTCCCATTTAGAGTTCTCAAGTTCTATGATGACAATCAGAAAACTTGGGGAAGGAAGAATGCATTAAGTAGTTCACCAGAATTAAAAGCTCAGCTCTAATCCACTTGCTTCTGTCCATAGGTCTTGGTTTTAGCTGTCTTCCATACAGGAAGACAAGTCATAGTGAATTGTAAATTTATATTCAGTATTGTAATCATATATCCTGAAGAGGGTGCCAATTTATTTTCATTTTTGTACGGTTAAGATTTTTCTTTAGCCAGCTATGTGCAAGCACTTTACCAAGACAAATGTGGGCTCAAACCCTGCCTGCAAAGAGTCATTATCAGAAAATTGTCACATTTCTTTTAGTATTTGAATTGTTCTTCTCTAGGAGGCTAATTGTAGCTATTTCATAGAGATAATATGACAATTAAATGAGACAATTTTGAGAAAAGTTGATCACAAGTCATGGAGGAGTCTATATTCAATATGTTTTCTCTTTCACTTTGTAAAGCATGAAGTGAGCATTTGCCATTCAGCAATCACACGTATACCAATGTACTTTGTCTTTCTATATATACTTTTGTTCTATACGATGATTATCTCTATTTAGACTGAAGGCTTCAAAGTACATTGTCTTTCTTTGAGGAGGAAAGGATAGATGAAACCTTAGAACTTTCTATTTATGGTGGAAGATTAGTTTCTTAACCAAAATTTAGTCAAACTCTTCTGAGTCTTTTTTCAGTTAGACATCATCCTCCTGTCAACAGCCTAAAGTTAGCATCAATTCTCCTTTGCTTTAGTGAAAAATGCTCATTCTTAATGAAAACTTACCCTAATATTTGATCAAATTATCCATCCCCCATCATGTCCCAGTGAAATCTGATCTCTGATCATCATGGCCTGCCTTTAATAAGAAATTTGTTGA